TGCAAAAAAAGAAGGGGGGCTCGCCTGGTACGTGCTAAGTCTAGTTTCGGGACTTAACTCGGGCTCTCCCAAGCCCATACCATATCGCGACTTAGGGTTTAAGTGTTTAACATGCAAGTGGTTTATATCAAGGAGTCGCCACTAATCGATTTGGGGTGGGTCGATTAGAAACCCAAATAGGGTGATGGGAGAATCACCCTATTCCTACGAACCAGAGATTAAATGAGTTCGGGGACTTGGTTACACTAGTTGGATAACTAATGCCCTTTCGGTACCATTTTACCCTGTTCATTTCTGAAAACATTTGTCAGGCAATTTGGATTGATTTTAGGACATTTCTCCTAACATGTGAGGTGATCAAGCGAGTGCATAATCAGAAACGATTAGCAGTCAGGAACACAACAATTCATGCAGCCTAAGGTTCTAACCTTAACTAAGTTAGATGACATTCAAAAACACAACAGCTCATGCAATTGTATTAAAACATGCATAACAATACAACGGTAATAAAAACTAACATGCAAAATATTACCGCGCAATCCTAGGCTTATCTAATTTAAACATGGTAAATTATGCATAATAATGCTACAATAAATTAAACACTTAGATAAAAAAAAAAAAAAAAATTTAATTAAAAAAATTTTTTCGAAAAAAAATAATAATAATAATAATACAGAAGAAGAAAAAAAAAATTTTAATAATTTTTTTTTTTTTTTTAAAAATTTTTTTAATTTTTTTTTAAATTTTTAATTTTTTAAATAAAATAAAATAAAAATAAAAAAAATATAATATTAACCGGGTCGGATCCGACCCGGGTCAACGGATCCGACCCGGGCGTTGACTCGGGTCGGATCTGCTGATCCGGGTCGGTTGGAACCGACCCGAGTCAACGGATCCGACCCGGGCGTTGACTCGGGTCGGATCTGCTGATCCGGGTCGGTTGGAACCGACCCGAGTCAACGGATCCGACCCGGGCGTTGACCCGGGTCGAATCTGCTGATCCGGGTCGGTCGGAACCGACCCGAGTCAACGGATCCGACCCGGTCGTTGACCCGGGTCGGATCTACTGATTCGGGTCGAATCCGACCCGGATTCACAGACCCGCGGGGAGAGAAACGCCGGCGGAGCCAAAATTGGCCGTCCGCCGGCCGACCCAGACCAAATCCGCCGCAGTTTTCACCTCCTGGAACACCCACTAAGCTCCTTCGGTCCACCCAACTCGCCGTCCGGCCACGCACTCGCGGCCGCGACCAAAATCAAACACGTTTCACCGGGCGTTTCGTCGAACACCTGGCGTGCGCGAAAACAACGAAGGATTTCGACCTCTCCCGGCGACTCGGTCGGCTCCGACGGCCTTGGTTCGCCTCCAACGGTGAGCAGGGACCGGGACCGACGTCGGTATGGGCCGGGATTCGCACGAAACGGCCGGCGCGAGTCCCGGCCCAACCACGCCGGAAAACAGGGGAAAACAGAGGCGGTTCTCGGCCGGGAGAGACTCACCGGTCGACGGCGCGTCAGGGCGGCTTTCCGGTTGCTCCGTGGGCGACGGTGACACTGCTGGTTCTCCTTCTTGCTCTGGCGAGCTCTCGGTTCTCTCTCTCTCCCTGTTTTCTCTCGGTGCTCTTTTTCTCTCTCTCTGTTTTTCTCTCAAAAACCGCCCCTGGCTCGGCCGCCGGAGGTTACGCGCAACGGCGAGGCTGACTGAGGCTCCCTGTTCACTCTGTCTTCTCTCGAATTCGCTCAATTTCTCTGGGTCTCTCTCACGGCTTCTCTGTTCTCTCTCTGCTCAAATCGACCGAGAAAAAACCGCCCCTCTCTCTCCTCTCTCTGGTCTGTATATTCGACGACGACGACGCCATTCTCTGCTCCATTCAATGCTCTGCACCGGCCTCTGCTCCTACCAAGACTTTCGCGGCCATTAGGCCGGTGCAGAGGGGGGGCCGATTCTGTGAGGACGCAGAGAGAGAAGGAGAGAGAGAGAGGGAGCTCCAGAGATAGGGAAGACGGGACTGGCCTTAATGGCCAGTCCCTGTGGCGTGTTCCCCCGGCCTCCTCTGACCGGATGACGACGATGAGGAGCGGCGCCGCCGTGCGTCACGCTTCGGTCGCGCACAGGGGAGAACAGGGGAGGAGAGAGCGACCGGCGAGGAGAAGGAAGAGAGGAAGGGGTTGGGCCGGGCCAGGCCCAGTCCGCGCGGAGAAAAAAAAGGAAACGGGCTGGGCCCGCGCAGAAGGAAAGAGAAAAAAGAAAAAAGAAAAAGGAAGAAAAAGGGCCGGGTCGGCCCAGCCCCGACCCGGCCCGAATCGATTTCGAAATTTTTTTTTTTTTTTTTTTTTAAAATTTTAAGAAAATATGCTCTAATAGGCCTTATTAATGCACATATGCCTAATGTCTATATGCAATGCATTTAAATAGAAATATTTTTTTGTTTTAGGAATTAAAGAAAATTAATTCCTAAATTTTGTGTAATTAATTTTGGGCAAATTAAAAATAGGTGTCAACAGGATGACGTATTTAAATTTTGATCAAAAAGCATTAAAAAAAAGTACATTTTATTTTTATCTGAACGTAAACAAAATAGAGCCCGTTTAAAATTAGAAATTTGGATTTAATGAAATTAAAAAAATTACATTTATATCCCATAATACTTACCTGCAAACAGAACTTTTCTTTCCTCGAGCAAGTATATCTTTAATTTAGCTCTGACACGGGCATGTAGGTTCACTTAAGGCAATCAATTTAACAAAAATCTTGTATCTTTGTATTAAGGACAGGCATCGACAAGGTCTTTCGAAAGCAATACTTGATCTCGCTCACTACGCCTATTGAGCCAGTTTATGAGGTGCCAGAAAAAAACTGAATAAATACATCTAGGATAGACCTGATCAATGGGCTGGCCGCCAAAAGGGAAACTAAACAAACCTAGACAAGCAATTAAATTATGGGCTTCCCAATAACAAGCATCTGGCTAGAAACTGCATACCTTTCGACATGTTTGAACGTCGTCAGATCCTGAGCCGTGCATGCTGCAGCGAATTTCCTATTTGAATATTGTAAAGTTAATTAAATGGTTGGAACAAGAAATCACCATGATAGTCACACTAGTTGATGCTAAGATTTGATTTCATTACTTATTCATTAGCACATGTTACATGGACTTGAAGAGCCTCAAAGGAAATTGCTAGGATCGCACATACAAATCCTAAATAGTCTACTAGAAAACCATCCTGTAAATGGTACAAAAACTCATGGTTTAATGCAAGCTTTCCGTCAATAACAAGATCAAGATAACTCCTTATCTCTCGAAGACGCGCATCCAACCCCTTCAATGCAGTAAGTTTTCTGGTAACCTTGAAAAGAAAAGTATTAAGTTTCAGTGCTATCGCGGTCTCAAAAGATTTTAGCATTGAAGATGAAAACTAACTAGATACTAAACAGCTCAGCATAATCAAGAGATGACACCTCTGTGGCAAGTGTGCTGAAGGTTGTATCCTTCACATCTTTTAGCAAGTGCTCAACACATGAGAAAGAGTGGTGGTCAGTAAGGTGAGTTAAGCAGTACATAGATGTTCAAGGGATACTACCAATATCAGATGAACAACAGAAAAGAATGCCTTCCCAATGCCATACCTATCTTTGAATGAAAAGCGAGAGGGAGTGGGACCCAGACGACGCGTAGCGCCACGTGTCGTCTGTTGAATGGCCGGCAGAGGGACCGTTCTCAAGCAATATTTTCGGGAAAATTACCAAAAAAGTCCTCAACCTTTTGCAGTTGTGCCAATTCAGTCCTAAACCTTTTTTTTGGCCAATTCAGTCCTAAACCTTTTGCAAACCAGCCAATTTAGTCCTTTTGGCCGGCCGGCGCTGACGTGGCCGCCGGCCGGCGTCCATGTGGCAATATTTTAATAACTTTTTTATTATTTTTGATTTTTTTTTCCTTTTCCTTCTCCCCCTGGCCTGTCCGGCCAGGGGGACGCTCGCCGGCGAGGGCCCAACTCCGGCGAGGCGAGCTGGGCCCTCGCCCTACCATGGCGAGCTCCGCCTCGCCAGATCTGGGCGAGGGCGGAGCTCGCCCAGCCATGGCGAGCTCCGCCTCGCCGGAGCTGGGCGAGCTCGCCATGGCTAGGCGAGCTCCGCCCTCGCTCAGATCTGGCTAGGCGAGCTCTGCCCTCGCCGGAGCTGGGCCCTCGCCGGCGAGCCTCCCCCCTGGTCGGATAGGCCAGGGGGGAGAAGGAAAAGGAAAAAAAAAATTCGAAAATAAAAAAAATATATTAAAATATTACCACATGGACGCCGGCCGGCGCCACGTCAGCCGGCCGGCGGCCACATCAGCGCCGGCCGGCCAGAAAGACTGAATTGGCTTGTTTGCAAAAGGTTTAGGACTGAATTGGCACAACTGCAAAAGGTTGAGGACTTTTTTGATAATTTTCCCCAATATTTTCTCACGTCTTAATCGCATCCGTTTTCGCTGAGCGAAAAGACCCAACAAGGCGATCCGATTCGAATTCCAAATCCACTTTCTGTTCCCGCCTTCTTTACTGCTTCTCCCGAGTGAATCAGAAAAACAGAACTGAAACAAGCAGAAGCTCCCGCGGATTGCTTGCTTCGTCTTCGAGCTTTTTGTTTGCTCGCTTCTTCGACCACTGATGGGTGGAACTCAATCGGGCCACAAACATGGGTCAGCCCAGATTTTGCGGCCCGACAACGTCAGAGAAGGGCAGAAGTTGGTAGCTATCGAATCGCAAAAACTAACCTCGATTCGCACCATGGGACTATTTTGTATGTTCTACGGAATTCGTCGCGACGTTGATGACTAGTTCGTCACCTCAATAGCTTATCTTATTATGATGATCAATCTTTGGTGCCATTTGATTAGATCTCCCATCGCCCTGATAATCATATAAAAGCACTGGAATGGCATGCACTTCAAGCGCATTAACTCTTGAAATTCTGACCCAGAAAATCAATATGATGTTCGATTAATCAAGCCAGCCAGAAGTTGGGAAAAGAATTTAAATTCATAGTAATTCCTCAAAGTTGCATATTTCATGGATAGGAGGAAATTTCAATACTCTAAAATTTATCAGATGCTTGACTTGATTCCCACCGCAGGAAAAAACTGAAAGTCTCTCTCTATGAAATACTTGAAAAAAGACTTACAATCACTTCCAAAAACAATTTCAGCAACCTAACGATGGTCACCTTACACCGACAAAACACGACTAGGGCAGATGAATTTCAATTCAGCTGCTTTAATTCCGGCACAAGAGTGGGTCCAAAAATGGTTTACAGGATCTGCGCCGCCGTGTTCAATTTTTCTGCTAAGCTGAGCTGTGTCCTCGTGATGCTCGAGAGGTAAAGCAATAGCAACTGGTCCTGGTAACATAATACGCAAACAAATGCATCGAGTCAGCTGAAGAGTGAAACCTATTGATCACAACCGCACCTAGCAAGACTGTTTTAACTGATCTGAGCAAAATAGACCAAATTGAAGGACCCGACATGGAAATTGAGAGCAGCTTTTGGTCATGACTGTAGCAAGAACGTTCAGCGCTAATAAAGTATACAAAATGAAGCAAAACAAAGCTAGTCCAAGCATTAACTGGCGATAGACGAGAAATCCTGGGAACAAGCCAAGCATTTCCTATTTTTTTCACAGATAAGTTGGTTTTGCCTGAATCTTGAACAGATTACCTGTATACTGTCGTTCACGAGCTTATCAAAGGCCAGCGGTGACATTTTCGGAATAGATGCTACTGAATCTGCTATAAATCTTCCGACACTGTTATCAGCAGGGGTGTGGCCTTCCTGGAAACAGCGAAGCAAAACAATTAACAGACTTGGACCAAGAGCAAGAAATGGAGACATGCTAAAGCCAGCTGTCACTTTCTCACCACAACATTGTCGACATATTTATAGACATCATCAATTAAAGCTAGCAGGCGTTCCATTGAGGCTTCCATTCCCTCCAAATCGCTTGGGATTTTATCAACTGATTGTTTCTTCAAGATATCAACTGACAGGACAAATTTGCTATGAGAAACCCAGCTAAATAATACAAAAATACCAGGAAAAGATAAATAATTAAACACATCCACATCAATCTAACCATCAGGACAACTAGTTAGACATCATCAAATCTAAAGTTGATTCTGTTTTACAGAATTGATCTATGATCCAGAGCCACACCTTCTGCCTATCTCTCCCTAAGACATTTATCAGAAACCACACCAAACATTTGATTAATATTAAAAACCCATAAAAATTAGGTCTAATAGGGAACACCCACAGGCACTGCATCATTATAGCTGAGCATTAGTTGAATAATTACATTGTATCCAAAGATGGAACACGATTTCTACAAGTACTTACATCCAACTCTCTCTGCTTCCACCATGCGCAGATCCAAAGAAATCTCTTGAAACTGGGCAGCAAGCTGTCGGTCCCCAAGAGACAAATTAGTAGAAACATAAGCTTTGATTGAAGCCTGGCCATTGCTAAATCCCGTATCGACGGTCAAGTGGACAGGGTTAGAAACTTCTCTGGAATAAAACTCATGGATCAATGCACTGCCACCAGTGACACCCTCGCCAGTTGAATACCTGCACATGCAACCAAAGTTCCAAAATAAAGCACATTCAAAAGCTCAAAGCGCCCTGTTAAAGAGGAGATGGGTTGTGAAAAAATATTACCAAAGGCAAGACCATTGAATTATTCATCATGACTAAGGTCTTGAAAGGAAAAAACAGTAGGGAAAATAAAGAAGAAGGAAAAAACCTAAAAGACTCGGAATCTGAATAAGTACAAGAAATCAACCATCCACATAGTTTAAGTAATTGCTTCGAAAATCAGATGGCCAAGCAAATTCATGCCGTCCCAACTCCAAACTAGAAAAGCAGCATTCTAGTCTCAGCCATATCCACCTAACAAATCTAGAATACTCATCCATTGCTTCCAAAGGCAACCTTAAGTAGACAAAGAGGTGATCAGGCACAGCAGCTTCAGGCAGGTTTGCACAACACAATGCATACACGAGAGAGGATGTGCAGTGCTAGTAGAGACGAGACTTCCACTAAAATAGTACTACTTATTTCACTGTCGGAAATATGATGGTTTAATATAACTGAATTAAAGACTCTAAATTGTCGCAAGCATCAGCACCAAACAAATCCAAGCAAAACTCAAATTCAGAAACAAAAACAACATATTGAAGAGAATTACCATCCAACAATGACTTCTTTCGGATTCACCTTTTGGTGAGATATCAGCATGTTATGATGATAATCAATATCCAGCGCAACCTGCAATCAACGCATATCTTAATAATCAGCTTCGGTGGGAACAGCAGTATCCATGATTCCTATGAATGGACAAACAATCCAGCTGATACAGATTCATAGAATTTTAAGACCATGATGGTAACAAATTCATAGACGACGCATGAAACTTGCGAACCAGTGATTTTTTAGTATACCGGGAGAATAAGAGGCAAATTAGGTTGGAGAATCACCAGCCTATCGCTACAATCAACATTTGAACAAACCATGTCCAGAACCCAATTGCTGAATCATGGTCTCATCTCTCTCGCACGCTCGCGCTAAAAGACATATCGGGTCGAGTAGTTCACAATGCGGCTAATAGGTCTACAGGCCTAGAACAATTAATTCAACTAAGGAAAAAAAAAAAAACAGCAGTAGAGCCCCGGCCGCTACGTTTTTTTTTTCAGTGGAACTGAGAATACAAATAGTTACGACTGACTCTGGAGCTCAACCTATTCAAGAAAAATATCCTCGCAAGAAACGTGAGAAAGGGCAACAATTCTCAACCCACTCCAATCAGTCAAGAGACACGTAATCACCAAAAGGAACGAAACAAAGGAACCAACTTTGACGCTCAATTCAAGCCCGTCTTGTATAGAACAATCACCACACAACCCAGAACGACGCAACCACGCCACTAGCACTAGCTGGATTTCTCGCCATATTCGCTTATTCTGGTTTCAACTCGAGCTAACATTCTACGGCGGCGAAACGTTATGAACAACCGCGCTCGCGAGCACGACGGAACGACGAGATACGAGCTGAGAAAGAAACAAAAAGGCGAACTTTTTTGGGGGCGGAGCAGGGAGAGGACTCGGACCTGGCCGGAGAACTCGTTGTGGGGGACGGCGTAGGAGTTGCGGATGTCGACGGTGCCGTCGGGCAAGACGGAGCCGAGGAGGGTGCCGATGACCCGGACGGCCTGGTCCGGCCGCCGGACGTAGCAATCGCAGATGTTGAAGATCACCAGCGGGTGGACCCTCGCGGACAGGCTCGTCGAAGGGGACGAGAAGTGCAGCGCCGTGGTCTCGCTCGCCGCCATCGCCGCGAATCTTCCTCCCCTCCTCCGATCTGGTTGCAGCTGATAGAGAGAGAAAGAGGGAGAGAGAATGGGAAGAGAATGCGTTCGTTAGGGTTTCTTCTCCGTCCCGGGAGCGACGGAGCAGAAGAGAGCGGAAGAGAGGGTTTTGATTGGGCTTTCTTTCGGTCCACCTGTCTGGAAGGCAAAGCCCATATCTCTATTTCATGGGCCGAAGCCCAAAGCGTAATCTGGGCCCAGATTGCATATGGGATTCTCCTCGATTTTTTGGGAAAAAGCCACCAAGAATCCTAAAGTCTATCCCACCACGACACATTTATCTTAAATTTTTTTTTTCTGTAAGATAAAAAAACCCCAAACTTGTACTCGTATAATACATTTACCCTCCACTAAAGTTCTGTTAATGAGAAACCATTAAAAATCCGCCTATATAGATGCTAGAAAGCAATTGGTTTGATATGGCGCCCGTGTGACTCAAGTGAATTAAAAAAGACGTTTTAGCTGAAAAATTATCTAACGGAACTTTGGCAGAAGGTAGATATGTCACATAAGTACAAGTTTTAGGGTTTTTTATACCAGAAGAAAAAGTTTCGGATAAATGTGTCACAGCGGGCATAGTTTGAATTTCTTGATGTCACAAAAGAAAGTTCAGGATAAATGAGTTATAGTAGACATGGCTTTATCATGGAAATTTATCGTGCCTCTTATCTTATTTCAAGCGTAAGAAAAGGTTATCATCCATTCTTTTAAATCAAGAGCCATGATTACCTTCATACGCACGAAATTAAATGAGCTCTGATTCGACCAAACAAAAAACATGAGTTCTAATTGTTTACGGAAGCAGAATCGTAGTAGATCTTAGTGTGATTCACCGAATAGAATTAGGAAACAGCTCTTATTGATACAAAATCTCTAAAGCATCACGCTCGCAACTTATTCCCACTTCACCTTACTAAACATATTTCATTGAAATTGCGAAATTCGCTTTGGTAAAGATTAAGTGATCGAAGATGGAGTTCAAGTTCATATTGTACAATCCTTCGATAGGCAAAAGAAGGGTTATTTGCGTGCCGAAAAGAGCAAGAACCCCGCGTAAATCTCGCGGTGGGATCCTGAGTCTCTCTAGCTACATCAAGATGAAGAATCTTAGCCCTCAACAGCTAGAGGAGAGAATAGCAACACTTAAGTACTCCAGGGACTACTCTTTTCTATTTCACAAAGATGGCGATGGTCGGGCTTCGTCAAACGGTCCGGTTTCTCTAAAGAAATTCATCGGTCACGCGGAAGAAAGAAAGAATGCGACGAGAGCTTAGGATTGCGAAGGTCCTTCAGCGTAGGCTAGCAGAGGCAAAGAAAGTTCTTTCTTCATGGAAAGGATATAGAATGTGATGTTGCTTTTGAAAATTATTTATAGATTTACAATTTTAAAGTTTAAGCCACATAATCATCGTCAGTTACTAATCGATGTAGTTCTTTAATAAATTCTATTGAAATTATATATGGATTTTTCCGGACTCTCTCTTCTCTCTGCCTCGCATATATGTATTATAAACACTAGAATTTTGCACGTAAAAATACGTGCAAAATTACGGGTATTTGCAACCTAGGTGTTGAAGGGTCTAATTTAAAATTGATTACATTTATTGCAAATTTTTCCGTAAATTGTACTATACGGGTCAAAAATGTATTATGATAAAAGAGAATGAAGAAAAAGTGATGATATCAGCATCAAGCATGCGCATATGTGATTTTCCTCTTCTTAAAACTTTTTAATCCCATGGTATGTTTATGTCTACACAAATACTTTATATTATAAATAGGAAGTGAGGAATATTTTAGGACAAGAAAAGGAAAGTTGGGCTTCTCTTCATGCGATTGAATAGACAAATGCGTGTTCTCATGGTCCATCAAAATTAGGGTTTTGAAGGAACTCTATAGGTGTGATCTAATTTATGCTCTTTATTTGTATTTCTACCACAAATTTCTTGAGTAGATGTTTCGTGATTCGTAAAAATGGCATTTTTAGGTACGATTGAATTTTTTTTTCTCGTCGCGGCGTGATAAATTAAGGGTCAAATTTGGAGGAGAGGGGATGCAATCGAAGCTATGACATCTTGGCATAATAAGAAGCATTACAGAAATTTTGTTCATTGGATAAAAAGATAACCGGATATACCATCAACATCAAACTAACAAGCAATATCTGTTTAAGGGTAATTATTAGTTGTAATATCTAATTTACAGATCATACAAACTTGATGAACCAAACCAAATATAAATCCGCTTTTAGGGCTATGAGTCTTAGCCTTTTGGGCTTCTCAGGGTCCGAAAGAGATGCTGATTGAAAATCTTGAAAAAGGTAATAATAAATATAATAAAATAAAAACCTTACCAAAAAAAAAAATATAATAAAATAAACTGTGATTTAGAAGTTTTTGTATATGAATAAATGTGGGGATTTGTAAATTACTCATTACTTGGCATTCTTTTTATACAAGTTTCAACATGCCTTGCTTATTATTTGGATAATTCATCATTGGGGGAGGGGGGTTTAGCGGTTACCAATTTAACGGTAAATGTGTAAATTTTTGTGACACTGACAGTGGACCTAACAATAATCTTTCTCTTGGAGTATCATTTCATAATATTCTCCATGTAAACTCGAGCTAGGTTAGAGGCAGCATGACCATCCATGCTAGCTATCGTAGTCTTGAGTCACTGGTCTATCAAGCCAATTAGATGGTCTCCGTACCATCGTGGCACATGCTCTTGAATCACTTATAATGATCTAATCTTGAGATACATGTGCCAAATCCCAAAAGAAGTACACATCAGACGGCATATTGAGAGGCCAGTATGTGGCATTATACACATAATTGTACAAACATTTGAACTTGGATTCTATTACTGTGCACCAAGGAGTTTTCTTGCTCTACGTAAGTGGGCATGGAATCAAGAAGGCATGCACATAAATAATTATTCTAAGATAATATCTCAATCAAAATTTGCACAATCAAAGGGAGACATACGTGCAATATATATGCAATCTTCAGAGATACGGATAATCAACATAAATATCATAATTATCTCTAACATAGAAAAATTATCCTAGAGAAATCACTAATTATCTATAACATTGAGAAAGAACAGGAGGACCTTTTATTAGACCTAAAGGATATCACGAAGAAGACATGTGATCTAAGTGTGTGCTTAATGTTACTCTGCTTGCAATTTGTGCTCTTATAGGATATCTAGTAGTAAATAACTATTAGTACCTACAATAGGTTATGGAGCTACTTCCCCATTCATGTAATTTTCATGATGCTTGTGTCACAATCAAGAGGTTTTCCATGCACGAAGAACCGAGGACAATCGAAGAAGATCAGGCAAGTCTCCTAGGGTTTATTGAGTTCTCTAGAATATTTCTGAAGGCAGACAATAAGGGAAATGTACATTCTTGTCATTAATGCAGGTAGTTGGTGATGGGGAGATGGAACCTCCACCATTAAATTGAGGAGAGATTTACGGTTGTAATAAGAGGAGTACTTGTATATATAGGGTCTCTTCCCACTCATTTATATCATCTCACAAGTAATAAAAAATCCAAAACTTCTATGTTTTTCTCTCTACGATCCTCGTGAGTGGGTATTTCAATTCTATATGATTCTACCATATCAATGAATTTGTGAAACGTGCTCGAGCTGCTAAGGATTTTCTAAATGTAGAGCACTTTAGGAAGATATTAAGTGGTTACAACATAGATAAATTTGAGAAACTAAAGCCAAAAATGATATAAACTGTGGATGATATGCTGGGTTATTACATGCCAGATCTCTTGAAGCATTTTGGATTTGCTGATTGATGCTCATGCAGTTGCTAACCATTGCTCGAGATGTATTATTCGTCATATATAGAAGTAATTCTTACTAGGTGGATGGGCATAGGAATCAACACGTGCGCAATTGATGACAATATTCTTTAATGCCACGTGTCCAGTCGTCGAAATACGATAACTGACGATTCATAACCACCAATATGGGTTGTTACATCCAAATACTATGCTTCTAACGTACGTTTTGAGCGATTGTTCACATTTATGGACTTAGGTATAAAAATTTATTTTGGCCACGTAATTTGTACACAAACTAATATGGTCAGAAGCAGATATGGAAAAGCAAACTTCTTTCACTAGATAGAAAGATAAGAAATGCAGCAGCAAGCAAATGTCACTATCCACGTAATCAATATTCATATGAGACTTTTGCACACAGGATGGATTTATTTTACTATGGAGTGCATCAGGTGCGATGTGCATCCGGTGCACTAGGGTTGCCTCAAGAAAGAGGCTATGATGCCAAGTTAAGAATAATAATGCAAAAGAGAGAAAATGTAGAATTTGTGTATATTTCGATGTACTTATTAGCGAAGAATACCTTAGCCAATTTATAGGCTTTATTAGATAACTATTTTAAGATAATATCTCAAGATATGCACAATCAAAGGAAGACATATATGCAATATAAGTACAATCTTAAAAAATACGGATAATCAACATAAATATCATAATTATCTCTAACATACAAAAATTATCCTAAAGAAATCCCTAATTAACAGGAGCACCTTCTATCATACCTAAAGGATATCCAAAGTAGACATGTGATTGTTGGGTAAGTTTATGCTTAATGTCGAGCTGCTAAGATTCATGCATACATACTCGTAAAAAGGAGATGCTTGCTATGATGGGCAAAGCTAAGGTCCAACAAAGACTCATTGATAATTTGGAAAACGAATTTGCCATGGTTTCTCTCTTCCCCGATGTGCACACATTCTCAATTCGGGTTTTCACTTGTTCATTGCATGTGTGGGGTTGTAGGTTCAGAGAGAGTTACATCTACTTCTAGGGAATTTTTTGAAGCGGAGCATTTTAGGGAGACACTAAGTGGCTACAATATAGATAAATTGGAAAAGCTAAAGCCAAAAAAGGTATAAGCTATGGATGATATGTTGGGTTATGACATCCCAGATCTCTTGAAGCATTTTAGAAATCTTATTACAACCAAGTATTGTGCTTTTAACGTACATTTTGAGCAATTAAT